CCTGGTGTCCAGGCCTGACACAGGATCTGGTGTTGAGGACTCAGGACTTCAATTGGTCCTTTAACCTTCAGAGGAACTACAACAATTCCTTCAACAACACAGTTTAGATTTAGGAATTAATCATAAAGGCATTGCCTCTTGTTCTTCAATTAAGTGCTGCTCAAGTTCATTACTCAGAGCTATAATTCACATTCCTTTTAAAACAGCCCTAATTAGTTGCTATTCTCTGTTATTTTATCAAATGTCCATTTTTTCTTGAGACTGTGTCTCTTTTTATACAAGTCTCAGTACTCCATTTCCAGCACAAAGTGATACAACAGCTCTAACATGGAATCATAACACACCAAGTGCTCACATTGCAGTGATGACAGTGACTGCCATGAATACATTTCACAGCAGCCTCCAATTCGGCAGCCATGAAGCCAATGCCACCAAGAAAAATTTTCTTCTTGATGCCGCTCTTCTACTGCCTTTTCTGTCAGCGTGATTGCTGACTGTTGGCCTTCAAACCCATCAGATAGCAGTTCAATATTCCTGTCCCATGAGACCCCATGTTCCTCCTTGGCCAGCAAGCAGATCATCCCAGGCTGTGTGGTTCTGTAGAGCCCCATTTGTGTTTGTTGGAGCTCCTGGTATGTGCTATTGGATATTTTAACAGTATCATTTACTAATTCTTCTAATAATTGATTTAGCTCCTTACTGTAAAATCCACAGGACAGGGCAGCGCACATGGGACACAGTGTGAACCAGAATCTTTGGTTTTCTGAGACGAAAGGCGGGTGGAAAATATTCTCTTGGCCCCAACTCTTCCTTGTGTTTGTTGCCAATGTACCCTCAAGGGAGGCATCAGCATTACCTGGAAACAGGACCCAAACCACCCTTTAGGAAGCTGTTTATGGGCAGTGTCCACACACCCAGCAGCTCCCATTCCCAGTACTAAAGGTCTGATTTCCTATTTCCTACTGTGGGCTGCTGATGGATCCAGGGCTCCTCCCTGGACTATCCAAGTGAACCCCATTCCTCCCAACATTGGTTGAGAATATTTCCAGCAATTAATGACATGGATTTCTTTGGCTACTTTGATCTTCACATCCTCGTAAGAATTTAATGACTAATCCTTGGTGAAATCCTAGAGGTGTTTGTGGCAAACAAAGATTCTGGCTGACTCTCAAGACACAACTTACAGACATCAGCAGTACTTCAGTGACATGGTTAATCATTCTTTTTCCTCAGTCTCATTTGGGTTAGAAACAATAATTCTGTAGTTCATGGAGCTGGCACTGTGTTAATTCCAGAATAATGCCCCCAAGTCCTTTGCTGTTCAGCTTTACCATGTTGTCTGTGGATAACAAAGCTTGATGGGGTCCTTTCCCCTTTGTCTGGAAGGGGGCCGGGTCCCAGTCCCTGAGGGCACCCAGGTTCCTGGATGGAATTCATGTGCAAGTCCCTCAGTGTCACAGCAGCCTTCACATGAAGCCCCGTGGATCAGAGCATTTTCCAAAGGGGCCATTGGGGCAAACAAGGAGATTTGGTCTGGCAGCATGTGTAAAACAATCTCCTGTAATATCTCCTTGTTCTCACCCAGAACACTTGGCTGCAGGGACACATTCCCATTGTTCCTGCCCAGGTTTCAGGATTCAAACAGTGCTGTCTTTCCCAGAAGCTATTCCTTCAACTGCCTCAGGAGAGCCTTTTGGCTTCTGGAGCCACACTCTATATCCATTATTAGGACTGCTGCACCCAAACCCTTTATCTCTACTAACAGCAGTGATTTGAGATGGATGTCCTTTTTTCCAATTGTTTTAAAAACTGACAATATCAATAATTGTGCTACTCTGCCATGGGATTGAATAATCCAATCTCGTTCACTATTTTTAACACAATTCCTTTAATTTCTCCTTGATAATCTGCAGCAGTTCCTCCTCCCATCACATGAACCCTTTTCAAGGCCAAGCTCCAGTGAGCAGTTATCAAACCAAAGTGTCCTGGAGGAATCTGAATTCCTGTTTTGGTATTTATAACTCTCATTTGCTTCTGATTTATCCTAATTAATTCCAGTGCATGAAGGTCCAGCCCTGCAGCCTCTGGGCTGGCCCTGCCAGGGGCCATCACACCCGGAACAATTTCCCAGGCAATCCAAGACACACTGTCCAATGTTGTAGTTGCAAATTGGGTGCAGCTGTGCACAGCCAGGGGGTTTCCATTTCCCCAGTGGGCCATTGTTAAGGGTATGGAGCACATCTGGGAGACAGGTTCTCCATGGGGAGAGGTTCCCATCTCCTCATTGTTTCAACTGTTCTTTTAACAAACCCTTCACCCATTCAACCAATCCTGCAGCTTGTCAGGTGGGGATGCTTAGCTCCTCTCCTACTTGGGCAGAGCATCTCGCAATGGGCTGATATCTTTGTGAGTCATGGGGTGGGTCCTTAATTAACCATTAAAACAGAAATGGCTCCTGGAGGGAGTTATCTCTGAGTCATGTGGCAAGGCATTGATAGGCCCATTAACAGGAGATAAGGAACAAATAATGCCCCTCCTGGTTTCAACAGCTCTTGAGGATGGGAATAAAATACATCTTTATATTGTAACCTAGGACAGCAGGTGTCCTCTGTTTGAAAGGTTTGCTGTGTGTTCTTCGGGAATAACCTGACCATGATCCTGGTCTCAATCTCACTCCACGTTTAGACACACTCACAGTTCTGTAGTTAATCTCATCCCAGTGCCAGACTCATCTAGCCCGAGACCCAATCCCAGCCCCAGCCCTAAAGCCAATCCCATGTCTAGCCTTAAGACCAATCTCAGCTCTAATCCAAATCTCAGCCCTAACTCCAACCCCAGCCGTGACTCCAGCCCCTTCCTAAATCCTCAGCCAAAACAAATCCCAGGTTCAGCCCTTCTGGGGGTTTGGGGGTGTCTCTGTCCCTCTGACCCCGATGATGTTTGGGCAGGGTCACACCAGGGCTGAGATGGACAGGGACCCCCCCAACCTCCCCAGGGATGAGAAGGTCGGAGAGCCCCCCCAGCCCCAAGCACCCTCAGTGGTGAGAGGGACACAGAGCCCCTGGTTCCCAGCCTTGCACAAGCATTCCCTGAGGCCAGAGGGATGGAGACACCCGAGCATCCCCCAGAGCGAGGCGACAGAGACCCCTGAGCATCCCCTGGGCTGAGAGGGACAGAGACTGCCCCAAGCATCCCCCTGGCATGGGGGTGAGAGGGAGGGAGACCCTCAGGCATTCCCTGGGGTGAGAATGAGGGAGATGCCCTGGGGAATGGCCTGGGGTGACAGGGACAGGGACGACCTTCCCAACCCCTCCCAAACATCCCCCAGGGCGAGAGACACAGAGACCCCTTGAGCATCCCCTGGGCACTGGAGAAAATAAACTTGGCAGAAATCAAATTTAACTCTGCATAAATCACTTTGATGAATATTTGATTTTCCCACAAGTCACATGTGATTAAAATGCAAACAAATCCCAAACAATAATAAACCAACAATAGAAGTAATTCTGTGACAATTCCAAGTTTCATCGGTTCCTGCACAGCTCCCGTTCAGCTGCTGGCAGGTTTCCATAAAAGAAAAGTGGAAATTTAGCCCAATGCAGATTATTAAAATGGAGGGAAAGCTCTATGTAACTGTCACAAAGGTGACAGGGACAAAGAGATTAATGATTCTCCCATTTGGCAAAGCCCCCAAGCCTGTGTATTCAGGAGTTAAGAATTTAGCTACTTGAGCTGGGCTTCTTGTGGGACTTTTAGCAGCCTTGTGTTCCTTACTTTGGGGTGAATGAACCTTATCAGCCTTGCTGGTATCATTTGCTCCCTTTCCTCCAGTGTTTTTAAGAAACTTTTCCAGGAAGGAGAACAAAACATTTTCTTTCCACTGGCCACCCAGCCACCAACAGCCTTTTTCCTAATCAGTTCTCCCTTAAGTCGCTCAGATGAAGCTGCATCCAAGTTTCCAAGTGTTCCTCCAGAGAGGACCACAACCTCTTCAGAGGAGGGAAACATGCTGTTATCAAAGGCACTTGGGGAAAGACAACAGTGCCTAAACTCAGTGTGTCAAAATAATGTTGCAGTCTGGTCAAGAAATTTGTCAGAGAGATACTTCTGTCCCAATTAAGGTGATAATGAGACCAAATCCAAAGTGAACAAGAAACGTGAGGTAGAGAGAGACAGGGAAAGAAAGAGAAAAAGAAAGAAGAGAGGGTATGGCATGGGAGTGACAGGGACAGAGACCTCCCCTGGGGCAGAGCAAGTGTGACATTGTCCGCTCTGTGCCTGGCCTTCCTGGAGTGGGGGTTTTACACCTGAGCCAGTTTGGGTAAGGGAGGTGGTGTTCATCCCCCCAGCAGGGATTACCCCACTGTTTCAGGTTACAGTGCAAGATGTAACCAAATGCATGTTTTCCATCCCCATCTTCACAAACTGTTATAAACAGGCGGGGCAGTGTTCTTTATCTCTTCCATGACTCAGCCCTGATAACACCCTCCAGGGGCACTCTTCTGTGAATGGGCCATTGAGTGTCCCTGCAGGACTGGTAAAATGACATCATCCCATTGTGGGATGCTCCGCCCAGGGGGAGGAGCCAACCATTCCTACCTGCATATAAGCTGAGTCTTGCAATACCAGTAGCACCTTGCCTACTGGATTCCCAGAGGACAAGAGCTCCATAAGCACCACTGGACCTTCAGAGGAAGACCAGACCCTTCTACAGGATCACTGCTTTGACAGAATCACATTAATCACTGCAACAGGACTGTAACAACCATTTCATGGGACAGCTGCCAACACCCTGACTAACAGGGTTTCAGTTTATATCCTGACTTTGTTAGTTTAAGCCACTGTTTGTGTATCATTGCCTTGATCTTAATTTTCTTAATTAATTGTAATTCTGGCTTAGACTCTCCCCCAGGTTTGCCATCAAACCAGTAAAAAACTCAATGTACTAATCTCTTGCTTTCCTCCTAAACCAGAATTTCCCATTCCAAAATCTTTCTCAGAGGGAGGAAGAGGGTGTGAAGAAGATGCCCTGGGACATGCAGGCAGGTGAGGAGGAAGTCAGTGCCCCTTTCCCCCTTTTCTTTGCTCCATCTCCTAGCCCAGCATGGCCCCTGGCTGCAGGACAACACCACTGGCAATACTGTCCTGCCAGGGATGAACTGGGGGGATCTCCTTCCCCTTCCCTCTGGCACGGAGTCAAATCCCATCCTCTTCTTGTCCTTCCTCCCCCAGACAAGGAGCTGAGGATGGAGACCAGGGACGATAATGCCCAATGGCACAACTTCGTAGCAGAGGCCATTTTGAGTGGCTCCACAGCACAGGAATACAACAGGGAAGAAAAGTCCCAGAGATCCCACAGGAAGAGGGGCTGCAAACCCAGCCCAGGGTGCTCTGAAAAGGAAAGACCCATCCTGAGCCAGGAAGGTGGACAGAGCTTCAGCCAGAACTCAGAGCTGGTGGTCCATGAGCAGTTTCATGATGGGGATAAGCCCCACAAGTGCTTGGAGTGTGGGAAGAGCTTCTGGCAGCGCTCCCACCTGATCTGCCACCAGAGGATCCACACCGGGGAATGGCCACACAAATGTGGGGAGTGTGGGAAGGGCTTCAGCTGCAGATCCACCCTGATGAACCACGAACGCATCCACACCGGGGAGAGGCCCTATGAGTGTCCTGAGTGTCAGAAGAGATTTCCGAGCAGCTCCAGTCTCCTCAGACACCAGCAGACTCACTCAGATGAGAGGCCCTTCTGCTGCCCAGATTGCGGGAAGGGCTTCAAGCGCAATTCCCACCTCGTCGCCCACCGGCGCATCCTCACCGGGTTTAGGCCCTACGAGTGCTGCACGTGTCAGAAAAGGTTTCAGACCAGCTCCAATCTCCGCCTGCATGAGAGGATTCACAATGAGGAGAGGCCCTTTTGCTGCCCCGACTGCGGGAAGGGCTTCAATCACAACTTCACCCTCGTCAGGCACCAGCGCATCCACACTGGGGAGAGGCCCTACAAGTACCGCACATGTGGGAAGAGCTTCACCCAGTGCTCTGACTTGAGCAGTCAGGAGTCACCAGTAAGGGATGTCCTGCCAGTGCCCCAGCTGCAGGAAGAGATTGATGAACTGCTCCAGCTTCTTCCCCCATTGGAGGACCCATATTGGAAAGAGCCCTGTGACCCATGGTGGGAAGACATCTGTTAATTTTCCTGCCCCTGCCAATGACATGGTGTGGAATTGAAGAACATGAGGGTCTGGCCATGGCCCTCTCATCACATTCACTTCCACCTCAGGTCATTGCCAGCAGCAGGAAAGGGACTCTCTCTCCCCCTGAGTGTGGTATTCGCATGCCTTCTGAACATGTGAATGTTCAAAGCTGTGACACAAGCAGAGAAGAAGGTAAACATAATTCTTACCTCTCTTGCTGTGCCTGTGTTGTGCTGAAGTAGAATGCAATATGGAGATTGTTTACTGTTGTGTTGTGTTTTTCAGGTTCTTAGTTATGCTAAGTTGTAGATTGTAAGTTGGTTTGTTCCATTCGCCCCTGTGGTTGTGTAATGGTTCTACCCAGGTTGTCTCCTCCCCTGCAATCCTTGTCAGTCTCCCTGTCCCCTCCCCTGTTACCCCAGTTAACATTGGATCCTTTGTTTTGTTGCACCCTGGTGACTTGTCTGTCATTTGGCAACCCATCCTCTCTATCTAGAAGCTTCTCTTCTGGGCACCAAGTGATTGGTTCAGCAGCTGGGGCTGCTGAACCAATCACTTGGTCACTCCCCATTGGTCCCATACCAGTCACTAGTCACTCCCCATTGGTCCCATACCAGTGCCCTTCTTTCCTTTTCCACTCCCTCCTGCTCTGCTATTGGTTGGAGGGCAGACTCCACCCCTGTTGCCACCCCCCTTTATAAGTTGCTGTAAGCCCTTTTCCCACTGTCTTTGGCTTTTTGACCCCCTTTTCATCTCCCTGCTCCTCCCAATAACCCTGTTTCACCAGAAATTGGAGCCTGCTCTCGTCACTCCTGTTGGCATAGGTCCATGGTCTGTCAAGGCATTGGTGCCTAAGGCTCTCTCCTTGCAAGCGCAAGAGAGGAGAGTGCCCCCCCACCTCGCTGTCACTCACATGCTAAAATGCTAGCCTGGGGCAGCCCTCAAGGAGGGCTTTTGATCGCATGTGGCCACAGTTTGGCACCCAACGGGAGGCCTGATGTCATCACCGGACCCTGTGGAAAGTGGACTCTGGGCTCTTGCAGATCTCCATCTGGACCTGCTGTGGGAGTGACCTCTTGAGACCACCTGGCTGTGAAGCTCCTTCCAGTAGGAGAAGACCCATCTCTGGTGGGTGGCGCTCCCAGAGGCTCGGGGAGGCAGCTCCTGCACCTGAGGAGTCTTCCCCTGATAGGACACACCACATTTGGTCTTTTGTTCACCTAACGCCGCATTTTTACTGAGAGGGGGTCTGAGTCAAAACAACGTTGAATTCTGCGCCTGCGACTGTAAGTGGTCTCCTCTCCCCTTCTCACCTTCTTCTTGTTCCCCTGTCTCTCTACCCCAAATCCTTTCAGTTGTTGAAGGGTGGGGGCATCCTGAGCTCCTTTCATTTACTTTGAGCCAGGTCTTTTTAACTTAGCACCTTTGCCTCTTTTTCTGTGCAGTGCAGCCACCGTCTTTTTTGACAGGGGCCAGTGTGGGTTTTTCTGCCTTTTCCTTTTTTATTTTCTCAAGGGTGGTGGGTGTTGGTTCTCTCTCTTAACATCATAAGCCATGGGTGCGAGGCTTTCTGGGATCCAGAAAACAGCGTTTATCCAAGTTGAGGGAATCCTTGCGGGTGGGGATGTTCATGTTAAAAAGTGGGAATTAAGAAAGTTAATTGTTTGGTTGTTTTCTCACTTCCTGGAGGTTACCACTGATCAATTGTATGAGGTCAATTTTTGAGATGTAGTCATTGCAAAGTTGGCAGAATTAGGACGGTCAGGGAACTCCTCCCTAAGATCATTTTCTGGTTTCACCAAGTTAGAGTCATTTTAAATTCAAGGCGGAAACAGAGAAAACAACCATCAGTTAACACTTCAATCCCCAGTTCATGCAGTTCTCCCTGTCCTACCCCTCTTCCCTCTCCGTGGTCCCAAAAGGTGGAATCTCGAAGGGAGCTTCCACAGTTGTCCCAAATCGGGGTCCCCATCTCCCCAGCTCTCTACAGGTTCTCACCCCTCCTGCCCAAGAAGTCCCACTACAAACCAAGGCCTAACCCGGCCCTGGCCCCACACGGGCATTCCGAGCATCCCAAGGTGTCTCGGGACATCGATCTCATCCTGCCTCTGACAGCAACCACGGTGACACTACGGAACCTCATGGAGCCATCGGTCAGTTGTGACAATGCGGGTCCAAGGACACCACGGTGACACTCGGAACCTCATGGAACCAAGGGGCCACATGTGACACTCTGGTGCCTCATGGAATCAAGGAGACCATTGTGAAACTTGCAGGCCCCAAGGAACCAAGGGTCCGTGGTAACCTTGTGGAGCCTGTAGTGTCACACAGGAGCCATTGTGACACAGCGAGGGCGCATGGAGCCGAGGGGCCATGGTGACACATCAGGGCTTTGTGGAACCACAAAGCCATTGTGACATTGCAAGGTCTCATGGAAGCACGGGGCCATTGTGACACTGCAGAAGCAGGGGGAACATTGTGACACTCCAGGGCCTCATGGAACCAAGGAGACGATTGTGATACTGTGGGGTCCCACGAAACCAAGGGAACATGCAACAGGGTCTGGCTGGCTGGGCCTCCTGGGGGCCACCTGACAGGTCCAGCTGACCTTGGCATGTCGAAGGCTGCTTCTCATCTGCCCATGAAGCACTGCGGCTCTGGGCTTTCCTTCCTAGGGGAGAGAACTGTCCTTTTCCTCCAGGGGCCCATGGCCAAAATTGGGATTCCTTGCCAAATTTCCTTATATACAAAGATTGTTCCCAGATGAAATCTGCCAGGACAGACAGATCTGGTTGCCTTGGCCACCCAGGGGCCACCTCTCATCTGCCTTTGAAACACTGGGACCATGTGCTTTTCTTTCTTATGGGAAAAAACCATCCATCTCGACCAGGCACCCATGGCCAAAATTGGGGATCTGCCTCCAGCATTCCTTATATGCAAGGATAGTTCCCAGACAAAAGCTGCCAGGACTATCAAGTCTGGCTGGCCTTGGCTTCCTGAGAGCTGGCACTCATCTGCCTCTGAAACATTGGGGCTCTGTGCTTTCCTTCCTAATGAAAAGAATTCTCCTTCCTGTCCAGGCACCCACAGCCTAAATTGAGATTCCACCTCCAAAATGTTCTATATTCAAGGATAGCCCCTAGATGAAAGGTGCTAGGAGAGAGATGTCTGGCTGGCTTGGCCCATGGGTGGCCACATGTCATCTTCTTCCAGAACACTTGAACTTTGCGGTTTTCTTTCCAACAGGAAAAACCCATCAATCTTGACCAGGTGCCCAAGGCCAAAACCAGGATTCCACCTCCAAAGCTCCGTACATCCAAGGATTGCCCCTCAGTGAAAGCTGCCAGGACAGACAGGTCTGGCTGCCTTGGCCTCTTGGGGGCTGCCTCTCACCTGCTTTCCAAACACTGGGCCTCTGAGCTTTTCTTCCTGTGGAAAAGAACCATCCTTCTTCTCCAGGGGTCCATGGTCAAAACTGAGATTCCTCTTCCTAAATAACTTGTATCCAAGCATTCCTCCTGACAAAAGCTGCCAGGACAAACAGGTCTGTCTGGCTTGGCCTCCCAGGAGCCACCTCTCTCCTCTTCTGCCTTTAAAACCCTTGGAATCGGTGCTTTCCTTCCTATGGAAAAGAACTGTCCTTCTTATCTATGCAGAAATGGCTAAAATTGGGATTCCACCTCCAAAATTTCATATATCCAAGAGTTGCTTTTAGGCAAAAGCTGCCAGGATAGAGAGGTCCAGCTGGCCTAAGCCTCTGATGGCTGCCTTTCATCTGCCCC